CTGTTTGAATTCTGCTCGTTTATGGAGTAATCCTGAGCTGTTTCAGTGTGGTGATTAAAATACTGGGCTTTCCTGTCTAGTCAAACACTGCTGCTGTAGATTTCAGCCAATAAGATGGAAGTCTGAAAGGAACACATGGCTAATTTTCATCACCAAATCATCACCCAACCCCACACTGGTACTGAGCTGTTGGAGGAAAAAAGACCCCAACCCAGGTCTACAGGTTTGTGTTAAATGCTCACCTATATTTAGGTCAGGAACGGCGCAGATAACTTTTGCTGTCAGGGTAAATGCTAAGAGAGAAGCAAAGGGAATTCTCTACACTGTCATCCAGCTGCAAACTTTCTCCAGAGTACAACAATCAGGTAAATTCGTTCGGAGCAAAAACACAGTAGCAAGACATAGACACCTTGAAGCCGACTGGCGTAGAGTCTTACTTTGGAGATGAGAACATCCACCTGAAAGATACTGCCGAAGAGAAAACACCACCAAGGTAACGTAGATGAGCAGAGGCATTCATGTCTGCAGGAATACTGTTCAGTTTCTAATGGGCAGAGTTTCGATATAATGGTAGAAGTTTCCAAATAAAATAACTTCTTGCTCTATTTATTCAGAAATTTAACAATTTTGTTTATTTACCAACTGCACTTTGCCTTGGTGATTATTTTGTAACATATATCTAAATTTTAACATTACTGAGAACCAATTCCGCCATGTCACCAAGTTTCAAATGTGGATTTGCAAAATAGTGCCCCATTATTATGAATAATTCCCGAACTGTGTGTGAGGAGAAGAAAACCCTATTACAAAATATAATGGAGTTGGCAATATAAAGAATATAAAAAGGTGGTAACCTTGTCGATTCTCTCAGAACTTCAACAATTAAAAGGATATTCAGGCCTGATATTTTCCATAAAGCATAAATGCCTGTATTTCTAACAGCAAATATAACATTTGGTCAATTTTCTATACAATATAAAATTTGGAATACATTCTCTTTGTTGTATGTCCCACATGAATGAGTTTAGGTTTCACTGAAGTAATGGTGCATTTTTATGGGAATTCAGAGTCTGCTGCTGAGAGACTTATTCCAGGAGCTGTGCTGCTTATCCTGACCAAAAAGTTATGGAAACAATATGTATGAAAATGAGTCAGAGTGTCAAAAGTAGTTTGTACCATAAGCAGCCTGCTGCTCCCAAACTGATGAGAGGCTTATCCGGGGTTTGTGGGGCCAATAGACTGACGTTTTTCTTCCTTCTTGGGGGTATCTCTACTTTGCCATGCAGAGCCATTTAATAGTTTCTCAGTGCAGTTGGCATGACTACCGGTGCGGAACGGCAACTTAAATCTGCCATCTGAATCTCGGTGAACCTGCAATAATCATCGGACAATCTCTGTATTAACATCCGGCTTGTGTCAGTGTTGCTCGTTCCCCTGCATGCCTTAGACCAGCAAGAAGAGGGTCTTTCCCTCTAACAGGAAAACGGATGGAAAATCAGGGTTCTAACATCATTACCTACCAAAGCCTTTCTTATTCTCCCTGACCCTACTCCTGCCATTTGTCTCTTACGATATGAAAAAAAGAGACACACAAGGCAGGATCGGGTTAGCAAAGGGCGGATAGGGTTGTTTCAAACAATAAGAATTGGAATAACAAGGAAAGACAAGAGGCTCTGGTGGTGGCTTACTGGATCCATGTAAATCCCCGGAACATGGAGGGGAATGTTACGGGGAATGTTACGGGGAATGTAGCAGACAATGTGCAAACGTAAGCCCTTTAACAGCCGCTGGTTCTGATTAAAGCAGCACATTAAGATGCCATGGGCAGCTGAAAAACATGGCCAAGCCCGGGTCCAAACTCTGGGTTATTTATTAGCTGGTGTTGCTAACAAGTATCGACTGGCCTGAATTAATGTGCTCTTTCCTCTTTTGCAGCTCTTGACGTGTTTAGTGCCTCGGTCATTTGTAAAGGAGCTGGACTCTTGTGACCTCATCCCGCATTACAGCAGCATTCGTGGGTACTGTATTTGATGTCCGACGATAAGGAAACATTGTCCAAAAGAAGAAGACTATGAAGGCTGCTGCAACAAACCCACAGCATCTCTCTGTCCACATGCTTTTAAATTGTCCTGCTTTGTCAGTCATCACTTATTTTGCTTTATAAAATGTTTTTAAGATATATACGTTAATCATTTTAGGGTTGCTCATCATTTCATTCATGCAGTTAAAACGTTGTCATTGTTTGATCTTGGTTTTGTCAGGATCCCGGTCCGTGTGTGTGTGTGTGTGTGCTTGTTAAACTCCTTTCTGGAAGAGAACATTTCTGCTGGAGGGCGTGGCCACCATATTGCACACCTGGCTGCAATTATCTTATCACTTGCAGGAGATTTAAGGAGCTGCTGGAGGATCCCCTTCTTTGCATAATGGTCAGCCTTTTTCAGCTGAAGACTCCTTGCTGGTTTCCACAAATGCTTAAAAAGTCAACAGTCTTACTGAAATTATCATCACCTAAGATGGCAACATGATTCAATCAATCACATTTTAAAAGACTCCGCTTTACTTTTGAGGTAATTTTTGATTAAACATTTTGTACCATGATAAGTACCTTCTCCAAAGTTCTGGGACACTTAAAGTTTTCAAAGGCATAATTTTCATTTCTGACTTAAAAAAGCCTTCTGGTCCCCTGAAACCTTCAAAGAGCATTGCTGAGGTAAAGCCCAGTTGAAGTCACCTTCCAGATACCTCCATCTGTTGCTGACTGGTCTCTCTACACTCGCTCCAATCGCCACAGTGACATCTGATGTGCTGAACTGCAGAGACGCCAAACAACAAGTCAAAATGACTAAACTTAAAGTAGCCTTAACTAAGTTTCTGGGAGTGTGGCCAGCTAGCAGAGAGCCACCGAGGTGATGGACAACAAAGAGAGACCCTTCTCTGCTCCATATGGCAGGTTTGAAAAGGCTGCAGTTGGTAGAGACAAGACACTTTACGCCAGTAACTCTCAGTATTAACAAGCTGGTGTGTTCACAAAAAGAAGCTTGCAGAGAATTGAAAGATGGGAGCATTAGGACAAAATGAAGCAGATTTTAAGATTGGTTCAGTATGTAGAAAAAGTCTAATCAGACATCTTTAAATGCAAGTATTGCATTCTTATACAGAATGCAATAACTGACCTCAAAATACTTTAAATGTTATCCTCCAACAACTTGAGTCCAACATCTGAGATTTTAAACAACAACTGTACCAAATATTAAGTCCTATATTTCTATTGTGTACATTTTCCATGTAATAAAGTGGTAGCTCATTTTAAAAGTCATACAATGTGATTTTTGAGTCTTTTATAGATTCCATTTCTCAAAGTTAAGGTGTACCTGCAAAGAAAATTATAGATGCATCTGTGCTTTGTAAATGGGAAAACTGAAATGTCAGTGGTGCATCAAATATAAATTTTCCCCAATCTTCATAAAGCATTAGCAGTAACTAAGAATTAATGGGAGTTTGAAATGTGTAGGATTTGCTATTTTAAATGCTGAAGAATTAGCCGATCAGGTTTAGGATTAAGCAAAAATAAACAACAATGTAGTTTTCAGAGTTTTGTTCTGTAGCAACATGTTCTCTGATTGAGGCGATGAAGTACCGGAAAGAAATGATTAATGAGACTCGCATCATCCAATGAGCAAAGAAAACAAAATACCTGTTGCCGTCACAAAGTCACGTTGAAGTTTGGAATCAAGGTTTGCGAGACTTTTCCACTTAATATTCCACCTCCCAGGATACTCCTGGGTAAAGTTTAGGCTATGTAAAACAAGGATCAGGTGTTCAGGGGGCAATTACTTTTCAGAGGAAAGCCCCGATAAGTATAAAAATTAAATCTCAATTAACTTAATCTAAACCAAGAACCTAGAAGCAAACCCAAGGGCTTACACTCATCTCATGGATAGGGAAACTAATTTGTCCATTTTGAAGCAACAATTGATCGAGACATACAGTATGCCTCAATCAATACACCGACTTCGTGACCAAGTTGCAGATAGCATGTAAAGGCCAGTTTCTATCCTTACAAATCCCTTAATGTCACCCATTCCATTGGATTGACAAAATAATATGCACCCTCGCTTTATGCCAGCAGATTGAAAAAAAAAAAAAACATAAAGGAAAGGACGTGGGGCGCATTTGGACTCCCCCCCTTCTCTCTTTTTAATCAGAGGAGGAAGACTGACATGTCCAATCATAACAAAACATCAGCTGGTAAATGGGCCTTCGCAATCACTGTCAGCCAGCCTCCATTAGAGAGACCCCCTTTCCTGGACATCAATCAACGCTTTATGGACCGCTTCCTTCATTCATTATTTAATTACAACACTTTCTTTATTTATTTAACAACTGAAGACTTTTTGTGCGGCTTAATCACTTCTTTGTTGGCAATCACATTTTTCCGTCTTGTTTATATCTGTTTTTTTTTTCTTCTTCTTCCTTCTTTTATCGTTTTTTTGGGTAATAACTTTGTTCTTCTGTTCTGTCCCCAGTGAATAAAAGCACAGAGAACAACAGTGCTGGTCCTGTCAGCTCCAAGCACGACTGCTGCAAGCTCAAAGCAGAACCGTCAAAGCAGACTGTGACACATTTGATCAATTTTGAATGTGTTAAAAGTGATCTTCTAAACAGCGCCGTTCTGCTCTCCAGTTCCACAACACTGACTGAAAGAAAAGCAGCATCCCTTCAAAAAGTGGCACGGCTTCGGCAGAAATCATATGCAAAATAGCAGAGTGTGGAAATGTGGAATTATTTCCTGAAATTAAGCCCATTAGCCATGAAATTATTTGCTTTCATTTAAGAAACCATGCAATCCAATTCGAGGTGGCATGAGCACACTACATCTCTTTCCAATTTCCCGCTGATCCTGTGGAACTGAACATGCACAAAAGAAGGTGCGTGGGTCACCTAAGTATAGACATCAGGGATATATCCCACTGAGAATCAGATTGGAACGGAAGATTAGCGAGGCTTTATCAAGATTTTATTCAAATCTCCTCAGCAGCCAGTAAAGTTTTTTTTTTTTTTTTGTCGTTTTTTTTCTCTCAGTAACACTTGAGCAAAGTTTCATCAAAGAACAAAAACTGAGCACACAAAGTTGAATGCTATGAAAAAACACAGTCAATGAAAAATATATCTTGTACATAACAGATTTAGTTGCAGTCCATTTATCCTGACAGCAAAAATTTTTAATCCATTGTCATTGTCGCTTATGGTATAGTTTTTGTTAAACTTAATGTGGTGCTGTAATCAGCATTTCTGTTTGTCTTCACATATATCTCATCTACGGCCCAGTAAGGTGGATATGGTTTCATATAAATGAAAGAGGATGTTCTCACATTTCACTAAGGTCTGTTTTACTGACTCTGACGAACATGTTTATAGCAGTGAAGCAGAAGGGAAGATGATTTTCACTCAGTCTGTAGATGCTTTTTCTCAAAACTGTTGCTACAACAATGAGGATATTGCTGTGGCTTTGGTCAAAGCACAAACACACACAGGTGGCAATTCTGAAACTCGTGCATGCACCAGATCAAGCTTCATCTGCAGTGCATGGTCCTGTTACCAGATTCCCATACCCTATCAGAGACAAAATATGTCAGTCTATAATTGTTTTCTGGGTCTAGAAACAGCCTCATCACACAGATTTGTTTTCATTTCAACATACAATAGGATGTCAAAAGTTAGGAAAATCAGCCTTTAGTGCACTGGTAAACATGCAGGCTAATATATATATATATGGGAACAGGTTCGACAATAAAAACAGTAGAAGGTGTGAAAGTCTGAGGCACGCTGTGCTATCAAACCGTTAGCACAGGTGCTGCTCAGTCAACCTGTTGCCATAAGCTGTGGTTTGCTGACACGGGAAGTTCGATTCAGACATATGAAAAGACTAAACGAGTGCATGCATCCAGTCTACCAGCAAAACACATGCAGATAGAGGTTGATAAGCCGCATCCTGTGTCTGGGTGAGAACGACCAGTGTGCCTTGATGTGCGCAATCCGAGTTCCAGGGCCGTGAGAGTTCACTGCACACCAACGGTAGAGTTGCTCTGGAAGGAAACCAGAAGATTTCAAATCAGTTTATAAGTTTTTGGAAAAGTTTTATTTTGATTCAAGCATATTGATTACCAAATAGTATTTTACTTCAGAAGTTATTGTTATAATCTCAGACTGTTTTTATTTGTATCCATAGGACAGCTTTTGTTATAGATAAAAGGTCAATTAGAACAGCACAGAGCAAATCTATCCACTGTTTCCTTACCACATTGCAGATCCTCCTGGAGATTTAAAGGCATCCCCAGGCCAGAAGGGATACCCACTGAGCAATAAGTGTCGTAGCACACACTTCATTTAGACATGATATGCAAAATTTTCAATTTCTGTGATATTTTGAACATCAACAAACCTCCGGACACAACAGCTTTGGTTTATTTGAATATCGATGTGGCATAAAAAGACAAAGGTTACTTTTAGAGTTTTACCAATTATGACGTTTAAGAGCCAGAATGTTCAACAACTGTGTTAGAGTATTTATTATTTAGCACGACACTTCACAGAAACCGAGTCCGTTTCATCATGTAACATCAGAGTTATGTTTCCAGGAATAAACTGAACTAAAGAAACAAAGTGCTAACGGACTTGAACAACTAGAAACACTGCAACACGTCTTTAACACCTGCACGGCCCCTGGCCCCCTCAACCTTACTGTCTGGCATTCCCTTGTTCACAGAACATCCTCCACTATAATCCCACCACCCCTTCCATATGCCTTAATCATGACCTGCTTTGGCCTCCTTTGGCTGAATAAAAAGGGATAATTGGCTATCATTGTCTTTCTGTTGCGCTGCGGTGGCAGTGACAGCAAAACGCAGGTGTCCAGATGCAAAGACCTTGGCTCTTAAGGCCTTAATTAGGGCAAACCTGAGGACTAGGAAAAGGCCAATTAGACCCTCATAACACACAAACACAGCAGACAGAATATACTACAGCTTGCAGTTGTTAAAATGTCATTTTTTTAATATATATTCAGATACATAAAAACTAATGTTTTAGTCACAAACATTAACAGGTGCCTCTGTCTGAACTCTACCTCCAGGGTCATTTCATGTGCAGCCGTACTCTGTCTTCCTTGATCACGTGGTTCAAGTCCATTAAATGATATGTGTGTACAGAAAGAAAAAAAAAAAAAAAAACCTGAGGGAATAATTAATTAAATGCAATTTAAAAAGCATAACAGTGTATCACCATCATCTAGTGTCAGTGGTATTCAAATGACCCGGTCTCTTATTCCTTTTCTCACTGTGAATTTGCATTGAGAATTCATTCAAATGCATCTTAGATTAATCAGAGCAAACGCTTCTGCATGCCATAAAAAAAGGACCTTTTAGAATGGTAACCAAGCACCCGTACATGTATCTACATTATTCATGAGAGCGATTTGGATAATGCTGCCTCTGACTATTAGTCCCCTTATGGTGTGTTAACATGTATTAAGAGTGATTTGATGAGATGTGGATTCATAGGGAATGGGGCTGTCAATTACCACTGGAGTTAATAGGGTTGAGTGAGCAAATGGTGCGAGCAAATTTCATGCAGTTCGCACTCATGCAACATTAATGCGGATCTTTAGGAGCAAGACTTTGAAATCCTTGCATGTCCGCACAATGCACAACCTAGTAAAAGCTGCTACTAATCAATTATGAGAGTTGGCAGAGACAGTTCAGTTGCTTTCCTAATGTGCATTAAGGTTTGAAAAGTTTCAACTGCTCCACAGGTAATTGGATAAATGTCACAATAGGAGGAAAATACCAAATTGCTTCAGCTGACATCCAGGTAATTAGGTGATAAAGGGGATATTTCTAACATATTTGAAGAAAATTTGTTTTGGTTTTTGCATCTTTTAATCTCCTTTCTGTACTTTTGTTGGACAAAGAACTATGGCAAGCCAACCTAAACATATTTACAAGTCATTGGGTAGATAACAAGGTGGTGCGTAAGGCTATAGGAAAGTCAAAAAAAGAGGGCAACATACTACATGTTGTAACTTTTGTTCCAAGTCAAAAGATTTACAATAATCAAGATGTTTGTGTCAATTAGTATGTTTTTTTTTTTGTTTGATTTTGTTTAATTTTTACAGTCTGTCATATATAATGCCACTCATAATAGGTTCTTATATTCATCGAGTTCCTTTCCACCCTAAACTCTAACCCTAAAGTCCATTCATGTTTTAGTTATTACACCATTCACCTAGTGTGGGCAGGGCTTTCTTTTGACTACATCAGCTTCTCCAAGAGGACAAGAATTTAACACACTTAGCGGCTGTGAGGATAGAACTTAATCAATATAAAATATCTGAAACTACCTTAACATTGAACCCTTTAATGATTAGGCAGACATATATAAGAAATAAACTTGTGTTAAAATATGAGCTTGTCCAAGAGAAACTATTTCAGCAGAAAGTTAATTAGCAGATATTTGGATACTAGATTCCTTTTTGTGCTGCACAGTGGTGCAGTTCTCACTTTTGCATTGCATTGAGAGGGATTTGGGTTACAATTTTGGTTTGTTCTCCCTGGGCAAACATGGATTCTCTCAGGGTTCTCTGGTTCCTTCTCACCTTCATGTTAGGTATGTTGGTCTCAATTTCATTTGGTTCTGTGAGTGGATGATTTTTTTTTTTTTAATGCATAGCTAATATGGATTCATTCACTAAATGAATGACGTACACAATCTTAAAATGTGTTAGGGATTTGATACAAATAACTGCAGATCTGCCTTGCACTTTAATGCATTAAAATACAGTGCATTACACTATTTTAGGTAGAAAAACCTTCAGCATTGCCTTTTTACACATTTGTCAAAGAAGAATACAAAGCCTCAACAGCAACTAAGCTAAACTGTCGTAAATTTCTTCAAATTCTATGACATGAGAATCACATCTTATATGATAGCAACTGCTAAGGAGGCTAAGTTTCAAAAAAGACGTTGGAGGTGAATGATCCTCCAACCAAAGGCCAGAGGTCAGCAGAGATGCCTTATGGATTAGCTAGATTCCCCAATTGAGTTTGTCATCGCTTGGCAAACTCAATTGGGGAATCAAAGATCCTCAAAGTCTTTAAGCCTGATCATTGGAAATCTTGTGCAGCAACAATTTAGATGATACAATTTTGTGTGAAAAATGGTGTATAACCCTGAAAAGAAATCCACAATATGACTGCTGTTTAGAAGAGTATACCATGAAAGATTAGTCTTAATGTGGTAAGCATTTTTTTTCCTGAATTAAATTAGTCATTTAAAGTCATTCAAGAAAAAGTGCTATTTGGCTATTTTCCCAGTTTAAAAAGTAGTAAAAGAATCTGCAATCTCCATCAATAACGTGTGGGAAAATAAAGCATGTTTTAATAAAAACTGAAATATAAAATTCATACAAAAGAAAAACACAAATACTTTATGACTACTTAATAACTGAGCTTCCTCGGGGCACACACACGACCCCGTTAACAAGCCCTGTGATTGGCTAAGGATCGTTTCATCTTTACTGTCCTTTTTGAGACTTCCTTGAAAGGACAGTTGTACTGTAAGCTTTGACGCTATCATGCTAATCTTTTGCCAGCCGAATATGATGCTTATCTTAATAATGACCATCAAAAGTTTATTTTAATGCTGAGATCGGCACTGGCACTCGTCCCCTGGGGAAGGACTTCTTAGAGATTGGAGCAGCTAGATTTTATCCAGTTTCGTGGTTATCAGATCTGCTGCAGAGAAAGCGACTTCCCAAACTGGGTTTACTGGAGTAGAGTGTGGAAGGAAACCATGCAGAGGGGCAGGTATGAGCAACACTCTGCACACATTGCTGAAAGCGCACTCTGAGGGGCTGCTTTCTTTTCATTTAAATCTGTAAAAAGCAGCTCACTCTTAGGACAGAAGTGGGTTTTAGCGATCAGATCTCTTTATCTACATGGCTGACACCATGGCTTGAACCAAAGATTTCCCCTCCATTCCCCACCCCTTCATTACACACATTTTGTTCAAACAATATGGCATCAGAGATTTGGAGACCTGATCAAACCAGTTTGTGCTAGATGGAAACCATATTCCATCACATTGTATCAGATAATCTTGTAAAAACAGTGGAAGAGCCCGAATGCCCGAGGCAAAAACAATTTAAGCCGCAGCAGCAAAGGCCCTTCAGTCGGCGAGGAGCCCCAAATTAACAAATTAAAGTGTGAAGTCCTCTGCTAAAGTTTTAGGGGAGGCATTCTAGTGGCTTGTGTTGCTTGCAAAATGACTTTTCAGTTACGACCCATTAGCTAATTAGCTAAAGCCTACCAGGAAAGCAATTTGCATTAAAAATACAAACATAGAACCTGAAAGCATCCTTTTACTCTTTTTGCATGAACAATTACAGATAACATACATGTGCTGTGCATAAGAATTCCCATTCATTTTAATACCCTAACGATGGAAATGATCTTGAATAGGAAGCAGTCAATTCAATTTAAATAAAAAAAAAAAAATAATGCAGCTACACTATAATATGACATATTATATATATATGCCCAATGTGTGTTTATGTGTGTTTATGAGCCAGACCTTCAGTGTTGCACTGCAGAGCCAGAGTTATTAAGCCAAACTGAGTGAATTACCCTGATGAATGAGCAGCAACAGACACCTGAAATACTTGGGTTTATCGAGCAGATCCACATGGCTTCAGATGAAACCTTTTGTAAGTGAGTGCAAGAGAAAAGAATAGAAACCAAAGGAGTGGGAACAGGATGGAAAGGAAAAAGATGAGAAGAGGAGAAGGCCTATTTATCAGTCTAATTATGAGAGACAGATCAGAGGCCCCAGCACATAGCAGGATGGTCTGAGTCAGGGAAAAGAGTCCAGCCAGTCACACTGAATATTAATAGAAAGATGAGAGAAGGGGGAAGCATTTTATTAGAGCGACTAATGGTGGGTGTGAGTAAACCTCTTTTCCAATATCTGAGTTGCTCTGACCTCTCTCATCTCTTGGCCTCTTTTGAATAGAGCAGCTCTGAGATAAGATGGACCACTGCAGGGCGACCTTCTCAGATTTCAATATGAGACACCAGATCTTAACCCTGCCTACACTAGAGAGAAGAATATGAGGCCAAACTGGGAGCTGGACAGAGTTTGAATAATGATCTGAAGGATCCTTTGAAATTTAAAATAATGACAGCTGTATGCAGAATTGTTTGTTCGCTCCGCATGAAGCTCATCTTTATTTCTTCCCTGTTGGCGTTTATACTTCTGTGCACCTTTTTAAAGGTTAGAAAGGTTGCTGAAGTCCCATTTAAAAAGGCAATGAAGTACTTTTAGCTATTCAAGAAAGACTCCAGATGGAACAGAATCTATCGCTCACTTTCTTTCTTTCTGTGCCGAATCTGGAGAAATTTCAGAGGCCAAGCTTAACCTGAAAAGATGCACCTCCAGCTCTCGCATGGGGCCTCACACAGCGGAAACATGGATTGCGTTCAAATGTGTTATTAAAAATGATCTTAAAACGAAGACATAAAAGGGGCCATCCAGTCTGCTGTCAGCAAAAAAAAAAAAAAACCTGAAGCGTTTTTTTTTTTTTTTTTTTTTGCTGAGGCTGAATTAAGGGCTTTAGCAAATTTTCTTTTTCACTTTTGGGCAACAAGCCCAACTTCAAGACCACATCCTTCTCAGGTACGTCCCTGTGTTTTTACCAAGACAATTAAAAAATCATATTCTGCACACACAGAGGATGAAGAGAATAAATTACTAAACTGGGCTGCCTTCAAGCCTAATCTTATCCGAATAGAAAACGTCAGAGAATTTAGAAACCAAAATGTTCTTGCTTTTACTGTCGGATGGATGCATGTTAAAATACGCACTAAATTGATTCTTTCTGCAGATGTTCTGAAAGACAACTTCCCTGTAATAGAGTAGAAGATGTTTGCAAGAAAAAGTGAAAGGTGATATAAGTGTAAAGGTGATGGACTGCTTACATACTTTAACAAATAAATGGTATCTTAAACTGTTTGTTTCTAGCGCTTTTGTCACATCTTCTAATCCAAAATAAGCACAAATATGTACTCTGGTTTTAGTTTTTTCATGTTGATATCTGTATTCTGGTGAAGATGATGAAATCTGAGTAGCTGTTTTAGTCGGGCCAGATCTATTCAGCGTCGTCAGGAGTAAACCACGGATTCAACCTGTCATGGTGCTGGTTTCTTAATGTTCCCACAGTGTCTTTCCCATTTGACCGAATGATCCTGCTACATAGCTCCAACCCTCAGGCCTCCTCTCCATAATTGCTGCAGTTCCACCACAAATTCATACAAGATTACAAACAGAGCGGGGAAGAGATTGAAATGCAATATCTTAATTGAGGACATTTACTGGGAGCATCTGCATTTTCATCAATAAAACTCCCTCCATCGGTGGCTTGCACCTTGTCGCTTTTCTCCCTGTCTGACTGACCTCAATTTGTGGACTTCATCCAAAGGTGGACAGATATCTGCCCTTGTAGTCTGGGAAGTAATTACCAGTGTTACCGCCTCTTCCTTGGGGAGGGAAGATGTGACGCCTCGGCCAACGTTCCCATTTGGAGTTGGGCCAGTTATTTCCTGTGGAATCAGACAGCATTAACCTCTTGGATGCAGATCCATTCGGCTGTAAATTAGCAACTAATTAGAAGGTGTTTGTCATCTTACAGAAAAGCTGCTGATGGAAAAAAAAGATCAATAAATTACAATAGATATAATAATATGCAAAAGAGCTACAGTGGACTGACACAGCTTTAACTTTTAGTTTAAGCGAAATTGGTCAGTCACTTTCCCAATGAGAAATGGTAAGTAGTATACTTGCTACACTGGTCATGAATGATACTATAAACAGGTGTCTTGTCTAAGCAAATAAACTGGTACAGGCTGGATGTCTTCTCTCAATCTTTTATGAAGATCCAGGACTGTTTTAAGAACAGAGTCACGTTTGTGGGCATTGCACAATTACACATTTGAGTTAATCATCAATGGTGTATGACAACTGAGAAAATGGGAAAAAGAAATACGAAATGGGATGCATAGAAGTACCTTAAAAATATAGAACTGGTGGTTGAGTCACTGGGTTAATCAATCCTGGGGGAACCTTAGCCATTTCTTTTTCTGTCTGTGATCATGATTTCATCTGATTTGAAGATCCTGCTTAGTCTCAAAAAGATTTCGGCATCTTTTCGACTGAGACAACCAGATAAATCAGTTGCATACTTCTTAAGTTGAAGTCGTCACGAAAATGTTTGTTTCCCTCAAGCGGACGCTTGATCATATTACTCAGTGGAAGCACATTCAGAAGTACCAGGCTGCTTTGTTCTGCCAATCGCTGAATTGGAAAACCATCTGCTGCCAAGGAAAAGCTGAGATCCGATGTATAAATTATCCGCCGACAGGGATTACCTGGTGACAGTGAAAGTCTCTTGTTGTTTGTGTTTGTAGGTGAGCAGGTGAGATGGATTACAAGTAGGAGGTGTAATCCACAAGTTCTATTGTCTTCCTAGAAGAATAAGTATTCATTTTTGTCCTGCAGGCCTGTGACAAAGTGGTTCAGTTTGTGTTTCCCACTTATCCCTTATTCCTATTTCTGATTAATTTAATCTTTGTATGGTTGGTTAGTTTAAGTATTGCACTAGTAACTTGCTTCACTCACTATCCCAGATTTATTTGTTCAAGAATTGTTTTGCAGTCCACATCTATGCTTATGTTTTGGTAAAAGTCAACACTTTTGGACCGTTGGATGAATATGAATGTTTCTGTTATGGTAAGCTAGTTGTTTCTCTTTTTTACTCACCATTGCTTGTCCATTTTAGATGCTGTATCCTGATCAGGTTTATGGGAGGGGCCGGCCCAGCATTTTCTGCTTAAATGGCTGTATGGCACTGATTGCATCACTGGGTTCTACCAAATAGAGGGTTTTCTTTTTTGTTCCCTTAAAGTAACATTTTGAGTTGCCCTGTTCTAAATGATTTATTTTGCAGACCATTTAGTTTTGTAGATGAGTTTGTAAATTAGATTAATAGTCTTATTCCTGATTCTCTGTTTAGACTTTAATGAAGTGCAGGTGTGTTTCCAGTTTGGTGTAAGACCAGTAAGACTGCAAATGCTCTAGTCTAGATGGATGTCAGAGACTACAAAAATGCAAAAATAATAAAATTCACTGGAACCTGGAACTGGGGGCTGATGCTGTTTTTTTTTTTGTTTTTTTTTGTTAACCTGTTTTGAGCATTTGACTAGACTACCTCACAAGGTCAAAACATAATTATAATCAAAGACCCCATCTACCTTGTTCTCTTTTTTTCATGGCTTTTACCTTACTCTGAACAGAGAAATTATGTAGTTTGTAGAAACACAAATTATATTTGTTCTTATAAGTCCATATATCTTCAAACCGTTTATCACATTTCTGAATTGAGCAGCCTCATTAAGCTTGATCATGCGGACACCCTGCAGGCCAATCAGTGACAGGATACATCTCTAAAGGTTTTTTTTTTTTTTTGTCTCCATGTTGGACTTTTGGCTTAACATTCGTGGCCTCGGGTTTGAAATTGTTGACCTTTAGCTCAGACACCTCCTGCCAGGCCAATCAGTGGAAATCTGCAACACGTCAGAGTGCACCAGCATAATATACCATTAACTCTTGTTTTTTTCATCCATATTTTTTTTTTCTAACTGCTGCCTGGGATCATTTCCCGTAAAAACATTGACATTTAATCAGAGCGCCCTCGTTGGGTCAATCAGTTTGAGAGTTGTTTCAAGTCACCAGAATCAAAGCTATTTTAGAAGGTCTATTATCTTTTTTTTAGCGTTTTTTTTTTTTGTAGAAAAAATAGTAAAAAAAATATATATTGTTGGGATTTCTTTATCTTCTCAGACCAGCGATGCTTAATCTGATTAACTTTATATTGCTGTGCAAAAAATTGTCATATTGGTAAATTTGACCAGGTACCATTTGCAGAAACAAGCTTTAACTCCATATATATGTTAATGTTATATGTTAATCCAGAGGTTCCCAAACTGTGGGGCGCGCCCCCTAGGGGGGGGGAGGCGCCGTGTCATTGCAGGGGGGACGCGGGAAGCCGTCTGCATGAAAAAAACAAACAAAACATGAACACTGTATGCGCTGGGTTTTTA